CCCCACTGTATAGGAGTTCTAAGTCACTTAGCTACCCTCCCCCATGGACTTCCTGAGGTGCTACCAGAGGGTGGGGTCAGGGTGGGCACCAGAGGAACTTCTTGCCCTGCCCTTGGACACCTGGGAAGCCCCTGGGTGGGTGGCTCGTTCACTCACTGAAGGCAGAGCTTGGAGAGCCATGGGCCCCTCCGGCCATAAGTGCAGTGGTGGCTGTGAGGGAGACGTGTCCCCACCTGCAGGGAGACAGGCAGGGACTGTCACCAAAACCACACAGGCCCAGCTGCAGACACAGCTTTGCACGCAGAGGACACCCCAGGGGGGAAACAAGCGGAGGATCCGGGAGGCTGGTCCTCTAGATCCCGGTGACCAGACACTGGGATTGCACTGAGGGGCTTCCGAGGGCCCGGAAAATCAACTGCAAACTTCAGGGGAGAGCAGGAAAGGGCTGCTAAGTGTTTACTTCATTATGAAGTTTTGTGTTTTGCTTTGCTTTGTTTTAAAGAGTGCTCAGGATCACCATCATCTCATGAACTCAAATAAATACATAGAAACACACATTCCAACATGTCCCCACCCACCCCCATAGGGCAGAGAATCTCAGAGTAGAGCATACATGAAGCCTTATTTTTCAATGTGCTCCAGTGCCCTGATTTCCCCCACTTCCCGGAGGAAGAGCATGCTCTGACCTGTGGACTGGCACAGCCTAGCCAGAGGTGCTGGGCACCATCATTCTCAGTAGGTCCCCCACCCTGCCACTGCCAGGGCCCGCTTGCAGCCAGGAGGCTCCTCCGTGGGCTTCCTGGGATGCCACCCGGCGTGCAGAGCTCTTGGCTCCCATTTCTCTCCGCTCAGGGCTGCCAGGACTGACACTCCCCCTGCCCCACTTACAGATTAAAACCGAGGACCTCAGTGACTCCCTGCAGCAGACCCTCGCCCATCGGCCATGCCACCTGCCACCAGGGCCTACCATGATGTCCGGAAACCAGATGTCTGGGGTAAGTGCCAGCTCAAGGAAACCCCGGCACTCTCTCGGGGCCCGGGGGGTTATTCCAAGCCCTCTGCAGCGGCGGCTCAGGCTCCGGCACTTAGCTCATCCAGGTATGTCCAGAGGAACCCCAGCAAGCGGCTCAGGCCAGGAGTCAGGCTTGGGAACAAAGGTCACTGCTCTTAGAGGTAAAGCTTGGTTAGGAATTCGAAGAGGCCAGTCCCTTGGGAAAAGGGACCCAAGCTCCAAATCCCACCCTCACGGCCATCAAGTCCGTTCTGGCTCACAGCCTCCCTAGAGGACAGGGTGGGACCGTCCCTGCGGGGTTCCCAGTCACTCTGTCACTCTCTACAGGGAGTACAAAGCCTCATCTGTCTTCCTCGATGCGAAGCTTCGGTGGTTTCAAACTGCTGACTTCGCTGTTTGCAGCCTAACGTGGAACCACTACACCACCAGGGCTCCCAGGAGGGAGCCAGTGTTGCCAAACAGTGGGCTTAGAAGATGACCCTGGTGTCTCCCGCCACATGCAGGAGACATCTATAACACCATAGTTGGGAACTTATCTGTCCCCAGGGGTCCGGCCAAACAAGAGGAAGTGCTGGTGCAAGGAGCAGGGGACATCCCCGAGCAGGAGTAGGCTGGGGGAGGGGGGAAAGGAAGGGAGAAACAAAGCGTGGGGTGGGGCAAGCTCTGGGATCACAGGGACTGCCCAGGTCACCAAGCCCTGGGGTTAGGATCCCCAGTTCCTGGCCTGGTGGGAGAACCTCGGGGGGAAATAGACTTTCTTTTTTTTTTTTTAAACAGTTTCTCAGCACTTCATCACACATCACACAGTTCAAGTTTGGAAATAGGCTTTCTATTGAACCAGACTGGCATCCTGTGAACCCTGGGCTCCTTCCCCCATGACCCATGCCACAGCCACCCCAGGGAAGATTCAGGCCCAGAGCATGACTTTAACCTCGGCAAGTGGCTTGCTTTTTTTTTTTTTAATGGGGGTAAGGACACACCATTGGAGTAGTATATCATCTCTAAGATAAACTTTTGATAGGTCTGTGATATCCAATCTCTACCCTCAACAGCATTTTCAAATCTAGTTGGGCTGGCCCTCACCGACGCTGAATAAGAAGGTGAGGGTTAAGTAGCAGCGTGTTGCTAGGCGGCCCTTGGCCAGGTGTAGAAGCCGTGATGGTAGGGAGAGGAAGGGAGCAACTGTTTCCTGTTAGCCACCAGCACTCACCGAGTCATAAGCCAAGGTCACCAGCCTCAGGCACTGAGCCTGGAGATGGCCTACTGCCTGGGCCAGGTGGAGTTGGGTCAGCACCCTGAGCTGCTCAATTCGTTGTTGTCTGTTTCCACCACCCCACCCCATGCAGGACGTGACTTCCCTGCATCCACTGCAGCAGCTGGTCCTGGTTCCCAGCCACTTACAATCGGTGCCCCAGTTCCTGCTCTCTCAGAGCCAGCCCGGGCAGCAAGGTAAGGGGGACCCTGCAGCTAGCTCGCCCCTGGGGGCAGGCCAGCCTGGCCACCCAGGACCGGCCCTTCCTGGCTGGCTCCTCCTTTGCTTCCCCTCCCAGCCTCCTGCTCCAGTTCCACAGAGCGGAGGCTGCAAAGGAGGAGTGGGGAACAAGGAAGGAGAAGCTCCTTGGGAAATGTAGTCCAGACAAGTCCCAATTCCTTGGAAATCCCTCCTCAACGGGCCCCCAGACTGGCCTCTGGAAACCGCTCTGGGACTCTGTGTGGGTAGAGCTGCAGTGCCACCTACAGGTTGCGAGAGGGTTTCCAGGAAAGGAGCCCGGTGACGTTAAATGTCCGCCTGCTAACCAAAAGGTTAGTGGTTCGAACCCCGCAACCAGCCCATGGACAGAAACTGTGGCAGTCTGCCTCCAGAAAGACTCCGACCTTGGAAACGTGTGCCCCACAGGGTCACCGTGAGGCGGAATGGACTCGATTCATAGTGGGTTTGGTTTGGGGCAGGGACCTTCCCTACCAGTTTATACCAGACCCTTCACTGATAGAATAATGATCACAATAGCTACTGCTTCCTGAGCAGAAGGAGCAGGAGCTCCGCTAGTGGTTGTCCTGACTTGACTTTTGGCAGGACACCCACCCCTCTGGGCAGAGGGCGATCCCTGTTGACACATGGGAGACAATTTAGCCAGACAACAGCGGTGGGGCTCTGTGGTAAAGAGTAATATGCCTCTGATTACCTACCAGAAAGTTCTAGAACAGTCTGGCTCTTGAGGAGCACCCGGCCCTGCCTTGTGCTCTTCCCACCTCCTCCCACTGCGCCCCAAAGGGATGAGGGGAGTAAAAGCTCCCAGGTCTGTTGCCAGCATCCCAAGCAGAGACTCTGGGAATGCCGGGCTGAAATAAACTCAGAGCCTTTCTCTTTGGTTTCCGAGACGGCCCGAGGATGCGGGGACCAGGGGGAGTGATAACATAACGGAATCCCCCTATACATTGTTGACTGTGGTGAATCAATGCCCGCCACGTTCCTGGGCTAGGAACAAACAGGGACCGCGACCCTGCAGGGCAGAACAACACTGCCCCGCGGACTTCCAAGACGGGAGCTCCAATGGGAGTAGAAAGCCCCACCCTTCTCCCTCGGAGCAACTGGGGGCTCAAACTTCAGGCCTTTCTGTGGATCATAACCATAGGAAAGGGAAGGTGAAAGTTAATTCTGTGGATTCCTGGAAGACTGGAGAGGCCGATTGCCAAGGAGGCCAGTGTAGGATGTGGAGGTGAAGTAGTGGGGGGGGGGGGGGGGGATGGGAACTATTTGAGGTTGGGGTTTAAAAACAGACTGGTTGGTAAGAAAATCACTCTTCGCCCGTGTGACCTTGGGAAGTGGGCCCACTGATGAGGCTGAGCTCCCACTTCCTGGACTAATTGGGAAAACCCTACCTGACGAGTATTGGAGATCGGAGATTTTGCGTGGGAAAGGTTCCGGACCCTCAACATCAATGTTAGGATTACTGCTAGGACTCAGGCCTTGGGACTCTGCCCAGGGCCCCTAATAAGAACCTGGTTGTCCGTTGATTGTCAAAGGGTATAGTGAAACCCTGCCTCTGTTAGCCAACAAGCAGCAGCCTTCTTAATTCAGTGATGATGACAGTCGAAGGACAGCAGGCACCCCAAGGCACCTTGCCGTGCAGATTGATTGGGGTTTGATTACCTCATTCTGATGGGCAGAGTGAGGGGTCCTTGCTGTGTCCCTCTTGAGAGGGAGGCCTCCTGCGCGGCCAACCTCTAGGCAGAGGCCTTCTTGGGCAGTTCCCTAGACCGAGAAGGGGAAGGTCCTCAGACAGTGTAATGAGAAGAGAGCGCCCACGTCATTAGGTGGCACACCCAGGAGCTTCGGCTCCTGTCCTTTCCTTCTTGCTCAGCTCCTCCTCCCATGTACAGAGCATCTTGGTTTCCTCCCGCATCTCTGGCCAATGGCCCACTGCCCTTTGAAGCTGTCTGGCCCCGTTTCCAGGGTCCGATATCTTTACAGGCTGCGTGCTGCCTTTACTACCACCCCAGCTACTCATCCTGCAGGAAAGACAAAACCCCCTATGCCAACTTGAGTTCCCAGTAGTCACCACTGTGCTTCCCCTCCTGTGCCAGCCCTTCTGGGTTATCAGACCCCAGGGCAGTTCTGTCTTGACCTCTCCAGGTGGGCGGGCAGGCAGGCAGAAGGACTGGTTTGGGGCCTGCTGTTTACACTCTCTTCATCCTGGGTCTGATTTGCCTGCCCCCGCCGGTGTGTGGCAATGCCTGGCAGTGCCCGTGAGGCCTCTGCATGGGACTCCAGAGCGTGGAGGGACTTGCTTATGGCGGCAGGGGCCGGGCCAGTGTCCATGGTTCAGAAGTTGTAGGGCATGTCTCTCAGATGGCCTGGAGTTTATTTGTTTGTGCTTCTGTCCCTCCCTCCCACCCAGGTCTGCAGCCAAATCTTCTCCCCTTTCCACAGCAACAAAACAGCCTCCTCCTCCCACAGACTGGGCCAGGCCTCGCGTCCCAGGTAAATAACCGCATCTTCCTGTTCCCTCCAGGACTCTCTCAGCTCCTGACAGAGTTGAGCTCCTTGGTCTTTCTCCCACTCCATTGGCAGGGAGGAAAGGCTGGGGACTACCCCTGTTGACACCTGGGGAAATCCAGGCCCCGGTCAGGGGAGGCCATTTACCCAGACCACAGGAGTAGAACCCTAATTAGAACCCAGAGACTCTGGCCTCACTAGAGACTGCAGTGCAGGCACTCAGCTCCTGATCAGGTCCAAGGTCAGCTGACTTCCCAGGTACACCCTCAGCAATGCCTACGTGCTCGCTGGCCACAAGAAGGAAGGAGCCCAGATGCTCCTGGGCCGACACCTTGAGCCCCCAAGGCCACAGGCCCAGCCCCTTACCTCGTAACCTCTCGTTAGCTGCCGTTGAGTCGGCCCTGATTTTTGGCGACGCTGTACATAGCAGAACAAAGCGTTGCCCAGTCCTGAATCATCCCTGAGCGAGCGGTTGTGGGTCAGACTGTTACAATCCCTAGGATTCTCATTGGCTGGTTTTCAGAAGTCACCAGACCTTTTTTCCTAGTCTGTCTTGGTCTGGGAGTTCTGCCGAAACCCGTTCAGCATCATAGCAACACACAAGCCTCCTCCGATGGAGGGGTAGTGGCTGCAGGGGCGATGCAGTGACCGGTGTCACACTCACGTCCCAGGCATGGAAGGCAAGAAGTCTAGCCCTGATGCAATAATGTCCCCTGGGGCTTAAGTGGAGAGCAAATGTTTCGAGAATGACGAGGACAATGAATGTACAAAGGTGTTTTACACAATTGATGTATGTATGGATTGTGATAAGAGTCGTATGAGCCCCTGATAAAACGATTTAAAAATAAATTATTTTTTTAAAATACCATTAAAAATAAATAAATAAATGATGTCCCCTGAGCTCCCCATTTGAAATGCCTCCCGCAGTGGGCACATGTGGGGCCACGCCAGCGGTGGGTGGGAGCATGGCCGTTGTAGAGCTGAGCTGGCTCCTCAGCTGACTCCCACAGCACCAAGAGCTACGTCTGAGTTGCCCCTGGTCCCCTCATCTGTTCCCCCTGTGCACCGCTGTAGGAGAAGGCTCTGTGCAGATGGACAGACAGAAACAGGAGGGCATGGCGACAGAGATCACTCTCTGCCACTTCTCTGTAGGACCGTCCCCTGGCTCACCGGGGATCCCAACTCACAGCAACCCCATAGGACCAGGTGGAGAGGTCCCGTGCGTTTCTGAGACGGAAGGCGCTTGGGAAGGCAAGAGTGCCACCTGGTGGTTAAGTGAAATGGGGACCCGGGCGCCCTAAGCTACCCTGCCGGCTCCTGACTGTTCTCTTAATAACCACAGGCTTAGAGGTGGAATGATCTGAGAGTCCTCAAGATTGATCCTCGCATCGTCGAGTAGGGAAGCAAGGAGAGACTGGAACGATGAGATTGATTAGACCAGAGGTTCTCACACATACTTGGCCTACTGCCCCTTAAAAGAAAAATTGCTCAGCGTCCCTCCCCTGGCAATTAAAAAGTTTTACATAATGGCTCAGGACCCAGGATAAAGCGTAGGTTCAGGTTTCAGCTTCCTGGGAGCATTCATACCCCCAGGGGGCGATATTGTCCATTTGGGGAAAGCTGCCTGGGGCCAGTCCATAAGGAATTGGCTTAGGGCTGTAGCCATGACCTAATGAGGAGGGGGCCAGTCAGGAGGTTGTTTGTTTGAGAAGCGGACGTGGACAGTGGGAAGGATCTAGCAGAGACCTCAACAAGGGCTTCTCAAAGGAACGAGCAAGTGGATCAAGCCTGTCCCGAGTGTCTGCTTTAGACCTCAAAACCGGCTCAAACCCCTGACGGTTTCAAATGACTCGGTTCTTCGCAGGGGAAACAACTTCTGAGCCCTGCAGAATCTTTTGTCCTAAGCTGCTACAACCGAAGGATGCCCATCAGAATGGGAAGCCGGCATCTTCTGGGAGAGAGGGGGTGGAAAGTGAACCCCCTCACTCCCCAGTCTAGGGGAGGCAGGGGACGAGGGAGGGTGGGCTTAGCCTCCCTCCCAGTTGTCCACATGGGCAGTGGCCCCGGGGCTGAGCACACTATTAGATACCTGGGCTGGGCGCCAGCCCATCTTTATGGGAAGACAGGGTTCATTCCCGACCCCAGTGAGCACACCTTGGAGTCTAAGTTAGGGTGCATTTTCCTAAGAGCACCACCTAAAGGAAGAATCAGCCCCTACCCCCACCCCCAGGGCTCAGGGCTTAGGGGGAGGCGCGGGGGAGAGAGTTCTAGCCTGTCTAGCCTGCGTTGGCTAGACAGACACAAAAGGGATCTCCTGAAAGCCGATGGGGAGAGTCCTGTAGCAGCCATTGGCGTTTGGAATGCAGCCTTTGTGTCAGCGCATGGCGTTCTCAGTGCCATGGTGGTTATCTTCAATCGGGACCTGTGGGGCATGTCAGTTTCCCTGCCTCCTGGGAAAGAACAGGCCGGACAAACAGCCTTTCCCGATTCCACTCCGAGATGGGGGTTTACAGTCTGCCAACAACCCCGGCTAGCTCCTTTTATGGTGGAAAACAGAAAGGAGGAAGTTAGCTGCACCGTGTCAAACAGTGAGTCAGAGATCACGCCCAGCTCGGCCACCTCCCTGCCCTGCGCTCCCACTGTTTCCACCCCGGCGACTTTAGGTATCTGCGAACCTGCATAGAAACTGCAGTTTCCTCTCTTACCTCACTCACAAAGTAGGACTCCTTCGGCCCCAGAGATCTGTCGTCCTCTGCACCCCCCTACTGCTGGAGACTAGCAGAGACTGCCATTTGACCTGCTGGAGATGCGTGTGTTTCCCATAGGCTGTTGGGCGCCCGGGGCTGCCAGGGTCGTCTTTAGAGTCCCACCTGGAAGCACCCCAGCATCTCCCAGTGCCCAAGCATCTGCCCAGCTCTGGAGGGGCCGACGAGCCCAGTGACCTCGAGGAGCTGGAGAAGTTTGCCAAGACCTTCAAGCAGAGGCGCATCAAGCTGGGATTCACACAGGTGTGGTTCAAGGGAAGCAGCTGGAAGGCATGTGCCTTCCCTGAGAGGGGCCCTGGCTTCCCACGTGCTGGGGCCAAGAGCAGCCTGGGGCTGGACGAGTTTGAGGCCCACCCAGAGGGTCCCCATGTTTCCTGAGCAGAGGGCCAGGTATCCATCAGCACACAGACAGAGGGCAGTGCGCGGGGAGGGGAGGAGAATGAGAAGCGGACGAAGGGCAAGGCACCTGGACTTGGTCGACGTGGAGCCTAGGGAGAGAGCGAAGTCAGTTTCCCATCTTCTAGGGGAGACTTGGAAAACAGCTGAAAGACGCTTTAAGGTCCTAGTTGGGTGAGGTGAGAACAGGGGGTGGACAGGGACACCTGTCTCTCACGCCCTGCCCCTTTGACCCACTCCTCAGGGAGACGTGGGGCTGGCGATGGGCAAGCTCTATGGCAATGACTTCAGCCAGACGACCATTTCCCGGTTCGAGGCCCTCAATCTGAGCTTCAAGAACATGTGCAAACTCAAGCCCCTGCTGGAGAAGTGGCTGAACGACGCAGGTAGGCCCCACAGCAAGTGGGCAGACATAGCCCCCTGAGGAGGGTTGAGTGCAGGGGACCCCTTTCTCCTCCTAAACCTGTAAACAAGCAGAAGTGAGACAGACAGCCGAGGTGAAAGTGCCCGTTGTATTGCGGAGAAAGCCCTTTGGATGGCAGAACTTTAGGGCTGAGGCCAAAGAGACTTGCCCCTCAAGTCCATTTCCTCCCAAGGTGTGCCCAGCCTAGGCCTCAGGACAGCTCACCAGAGACCAGCTTTGGGTCTGATGAGCAGACGGACCCAGCAGGTGGCATCTGGAATAGATCTGGATCCACGTTTCTAAATGTTGGGATTATTGGCTCATGGGGCACAAGAGTTCTTGGTTGTAGGGACTGGCCTGGGCATGAAAGGATGTTTCACAGCCGCTCCGGCCTCTGCCCGCGAGATGCTCTCAGAGGCACTGGGACTCTCTCCAGACCATGCCAGTCTCCTGCAGAGCAGGAAGCACACAGCCCTGGTCTAGGTAGAAAGGGGTCAGCTAGTTCCCAGGGCTTAGTTCTACTCCACAGACCCAGGAGTGTGGTGCTCATGGCAATTTCCCCTCGTGGACACACGGGAGAGGACGGGGAAGCCACCCCACCCCCCAGCCCCCACCCCCCACGCTGTCCCTTAGGCAGCTTATCTTGAGGTATGTGACAAAAAATCATTGTATCTTAACATCTTCAGAAAAGGAGCTTGCCGGTCTAGCCTGGTGCCTGGGTGCTTCCTGCGGGGCCAGCCCTGCCAATGGCTCATACACCAATACCCCCAATGGCGGGAAGGTGGCTTTGGCATCAACATACTCCCACCAAGTGCCAGGGGCTGCCAGCTCAGAATGCCAGCCTGGATTCCACCGGTGTAGTTCCACAACACAGATGCCCCAGTGTCACTTGTAGGAGCACTGCCTGTGCCCCTTAACACCCCCCCCAAAAAAACCCTGCTGTCTGGGCACCCCTAAACCATAGCTGCAAACAGTGATGTCTTGGAGGATTGTTGCCCGGGACAACCAGGGGAAGCCAGGTTCTGTTTCCCAGCTGGGGCTGCGGAGGGGCTGGTCCCAGAGGAGGCCACTACGGAACCCTCTGAGAAGAGTCATGGGCCCTCACGTTCAGCATGGCAGGGCCTGCGTTGGCCTCTTGCTCCCGTCCCTGAGCTCCTTGCTACGCCCTCCCCCCCTACAGAGTCCAGTCCTTCAGACTCCTCCGGGAGCACGCCCAGCTCCTACCCCACCCTCTGTGAAGTATTTGGGAGGAAGAGGAAGAAACGGACCAGCATTGAAACCAACATCCGCCTGACACTGGAGAAGAGATTCCATGACGTGAGCACCTCCTCTGGGTGGGATGGGCAGGCTGGGGCCCAGGGTCTGTCACAGCATGGTCCCCTGAGCTACCAGCCCTGCCCCACCTTACAGGTACCCTATGGGGGTGGGGGTGGGGGTGAGGAAGCCGAACCTGCTCCCTCTCCAGGCACCCAGGTCCTTGAGGGTGGCCGTGAATCAAAGCCTGCCCTTGATCACAGTTGGGAGAACCTTTCCCTCCCTTGTTGCCCTGACATCCTACTCAGGAGACAGATGGGGCCCTGGAAACCCACAGGGGCAGTTCCACCCTGTGCTCAGAGTCGCTCACAGTCGGCATTGACTCGATGGGAGCCAGTTTGGTTTTTGGCTTGGTCCCTCTCACTGGTCCCAGAAGAGGATTCAGCTGAGGTGGAGGGAGTGAAGCCAGGGCTTCGCTGTATTGTGAATTCCTTAGTTTCTATTAGGCACATTTTATATTCGAAATGAGCAAATGGAAGGCAACTTGAAAACCATAGGGAAGGAAATGGGATGAAAAATATGCACAGCCTCAAGGCCACTGTTAGTATTATCAAAATGCTGTTCCTTTTATTCCTGTGTTCAATGCACCTTTAAATACTTGTATATTTAAAGTACTTTAAAAAATTACTTTGTAGTCAAAGCATATTCCTGAACCAGTATGTAGAAGCTCAGTAATACCTCCCATGAGCCTGCAGGAGCTGGGGAAGGAGGAGTAGAGTGCACGTGTAGTCTAAACAGCTTCTAGTCTAGACCCCTGAGGAACCAGCCCCCAGCGCCTCCACCCTTCTGACAGATTCCCAAAGGACTGGGAATCTAATCCGGCTTAGTCCAGCTGTGTGGGCCCCAGGCTGCAGCCTTTGCAGCAGGGCACTCCGCGCACCTGGCTGATAGATAAACCAAACCGAACTCGCTGCCATCTAGTTGATGTGACCCAGAGTGATCCTATAGGACAGGGTAGAACTGCACCTGTGAGTTTCCAAGATGAACTTGTTGTTTTAGTGAACACTTTCTTTTTTGATAGTGGGACAGGAGGAAAATCAAGGGAAATAGAGGAAAGAGCTGGGAGGCAAAGGGCATTAATAGAGGTCTAGATAAAGACATGTACATATGCAAATACATTTATATGAGGATGGGGAAATAGATCTATGTGCCTATATTTATAGGTTTAGTATTAAGGTAGCAGAAGGACATTGGGCCTCCAGTCAAGTAC